CCCCCCCCCTCCCCCCCCAGCCCGATGAGAGGCTGCCCCGCATGGCCTCCGTGCAGCTCCGGAGCGCTTAGGGCCCTGGCTGATCCCCAGCCCTCCTTGCCCCTGCAGGCCAGCGATTTCCCAGCAGCCCTCACTTGGCTCTCCGGGCAGAGCACGTGGCCCGCCGTTTCTGCCATTCAACCCTTCCCCTAGTGCACCCCTCCAGGGGGCTCTCGGCACCCCACCGTGATGCTCACCCATCCTCCCTCCCTTCCTTCCCTTAGTCTACTAGAGCTCCCCCTCTGCACGGTCAAGGGCTTCTGTCCAAGCTCGGGGTGGCTTGGGGAAGCGTGGCTTTTCGAGTCAGGCACGGTTAGGTTCAAACCGCAGCTCTACCACTTACTGTGGGATTTTACAGGCAAGTTTTCTTAAGCTCGCCGAGCCTTCTGTTTCCTCATCCGCAAAGCGGGGAGGATGACCTCCACTTCCCAGGGCTGCGAAACCGCGGCCCGACAGAGTAGAGCTGCCGCGCTCGGCACCTGTCGATCGGCAGGTGGCAGTCCCTCCAGCCTGGTCAGCGGGGACTGAACAAATGCCACGGGGCGGGGGTGCCACGTGCCCACTTGCCCCAAACAAGGAGGACACGCAGGAGGCCACGGTCTGACCTCTGAACCCGGAGTCGCTCCTGCGGGCCTATCGGCATCCCGAGGGGGGCGGTTCTACGGGGTCTGTTTCGTCCGACTCCAGGGACTTAGTACCCACCCCTCCGTCCACTGAATGCCCGCGGCGGCCTAGTGCTGTGATGCAGAAGCACCCCCTGGTCTCCCTGCCCTCTGGGGAACAGCACACCTGTGCCACTAAGAGCCACCCCCGGGACAGGGGCACCTCGCAGCAACTGGGAGGGCGGGAGAGTGTCGTGAGCAGCTGTTTCTGGGTCCAAGGACAAGGAGAGCCAATCATCTAGGGCAACAGCAGGGCCCAGAAGCCAAGGTGGATCTGGGGCAAGGGGACTCGGTGCGGGCGGGACAGCAGTGTGGCTTAGGAGCCACAGAGGCCTCGGGAGGCACAGAGAGCCGGAGACAGAGAGGAACGTAAGCATCCTTCACCTGAACTCAGGGTACCATCTGGAAAGGTAAGAACCGGTCAAGGAAAAGCCGCCACGCCCCAAGTCCACACTCTCAGGCTCTAGTCCTTCTTCCCGCACCGCCAGACACACGGCAGAGTCGGCGCGGCTTTTAGCTTCCCTCTAAACTCCGTCCTCTCTGAGCAAAGACCCTACCTCTCACTGCAGCCCCACAGGCGTTTCCCCGGGGCACCCCAGGGAGCTCTGCCCCCGTCCACCTCCCTCCCCACCCACACGACACGCATGCCAGAGGTCCCACCGTCGCCAGCCTTGGCTCCAGACGAGGCCACATGGTCCCAGGACCCCTGACAGCACCTGTCGGCAGGAGGCTGTCGGGCCCTATGCTCCATCTGCAAACCACCCGCCGGGCTGTATGCCGGCTGCTACCCCTGCCACCTCCGTGAGGGCAGCGTTTTGGCAAATGCGTTTGGCCGAGCCGATCCTGAAGCATAACCCTGGGTGGCAGGCATGTCTGGAGCCCTTAGGACCCAGGCTGCGAAACAGGCCCCATAGCCGCCTACCTTTTTAGGCCTCCATCGCCACACTCTCCACTCTTCTAGAGAAAGGAAGCAATGCTCTCCACGTGCCCGCCAACCCCCCTCACCTTGGCAGCCACCTCACCTGTGCCCCCGCCCAGCTGCGTGTTACTCCGCTCCAAGGCCAGCCCGTTGGCCCGGGGGCTGGTGCCTGGGGCTGTGGCAGGCGTGGCTCGGGGCAGGCGCTTCCCTGGCACTTTCACTGTCGTCCGCAGCAGGTCGATCTCCTTGCCGTGGATGTTCTGCATGTAATCCTAAGGGCCACGTGGACAAAACAGACAAAGATTCATTAGGACGGGTCACTCCTCGGCAGCACTTGGTCTCTGACGCTGACCCACCAACTCACAGGTCTTGCCCGCGCCGGAGGACACAGAAAGAGAGAGGAGAAAGCCCAAGTTCTAGAAAGCAGGACCGGGAAGCCCACCGATCTCCACCTCTGGACGACACCCGAGCGCAGCTCTGGGGGGACTCAGCCAGGAGCGGGGCAGCATCCAGGGGGAAAGAAGGGCGTGGAGCAAGAGCTGAGGCACAGGGCTCCTCGAGGAAAGACAGCTCAGGAGGCAACGCAAATGAGGCCAAACACCGGACCAAGGCGGAATTTAGGAAGAGAAGGCCCACGTGGCCAGGAGAGGAACCGACAAACTCCCCAGGACACAGACGACTGGGTTGCTCCAGGCTCTGGGTGGCCAGCCACCGAGTACTTGGGCCCTGTTTCCAGAAGCTTCCGCCACCCCTGGGGCCCAGGGAACTTTCAGAGCCTCGAACAGTCCCTCACTCCTTACAACAGTGCCTGACAATAAATGTTTGTGAGCAGTCAAAAAGAAGCCTTTGATTCTTTTTGCCATTGTTAGGAATACAGAGACAGGTCCACGGTTTCACGGGTACCAGCGAAATAACAGTAACTTGTCACCACCTCACCTGCCCACTCATACGCCCCGCTATTCCCTGCACTCTGGCCACAGCTTATATTTCCTGTATTTTCACAATGACATAGGAGGGGGTGTTACCAGGCCACTTTACAGTTGAAGAAACGGCTCACGAAGGTTAATCTGCCCAAGGTCACATGATCAGAAGGCGGCAGAACCAGACTCGGGCCCCGCCTTTGCAGATTCCCAAGGCAGTGCACTGAAGGCAGACCTCCGCGGCCCAGGAACTCCCCCCGACTTCAAGTCAGCACCCAAGGGGCCCCAGAAGGGGAGGAGTGGGGAGCAACCAGCGAGTGAGAGCCGCTCCTTGCCCCCACCCATTCCCACCGTATGGCCACTGGCCTAAGAGTCCCGCGGTGGAGCCACAACCCGGGGGCCACAGGGCAGAGCCCGGCCCCTGGCCTCTAGCTTCCTGCTTTAGACCCGAGCCTGGCCGGACCCGAGCTCTGCCCACTGCTTCTGGTCTCTCCTTCCAGACGGCCGACTCCCACTTCCTCGCTGCTGTCACCGGCAAGGCAAGGTCTGCAGGAGGTCCCAGCCTCACGTCCCCGGTGAAATGTGGCCAAAAAAACTCCTTCCAGGGAACAGGATCAGGCCGGTGGTGCCAGCTGGAGCTTTGATGGGATCCCACCGATCAGACTCCAACCTGCTCTTCTCCCCTCAGGAGCACCCTGGGGGGGCTTGGTACACAGAGTTTCCCTGAGACACGGTCCCCCTGTGGTTACAGCCCCCAGCCCCTCGTACCTTCACCCGCTCTGGGACTTCAGACTTTCTGTCACCTGGCGGCTCTCCTGCCTTCTCACCCGTTAGCTTCGGGGAAAAGGGACCGTGTCCTCAGTTTTTTTTTCTAATGTTTATTTTTTGAGAGACAGAGACAACCTTGCTGCTTTTAAGGCTGGGGGAGGGGGGGGGGGGACAGAGAAAGCCCTGAATTCAAGCAAAGCAATTCCGAGCTGTCAGCACACAAGAAACCCGACGCGCTTGTAGAGGCTCCAGGCACTCATGAACCACGAGATCGTGACCTGAGCTGAAGTCGGAGGCTCAAGCGACTAAGCACCCCCAGGTGCCCCCGGTGTCCTCTGTTTTAAAGCGCAGGAGGGGAATGCTACCTTTTGGGAGACAAGGAAAAGGCAGGGGCTGACCAGGGGCTCGCAGCAGCCCCTGCTCTGGGAACAACCAAGACGTCGAGCGGAAAGCAGTCACGTGGCCCCAAGGAATCAAGAGAACGTGCGAGTTTCCAGTTAGGAGGAGGGGCAAGAGAAAGGAAAGGGTGCCTGATACCAGGCTCCCGCCTCAGGCTGCACCTCACTTCCGAGGTGGGTCATCAGGGCAGGGGACCCCTGAGGGCCGTGGGAAGGAGGGGCGCCGCTGAGGCGAGCACCGTGGCCTCACCAGCGGCCGTGAGGCCCGGCCGGGCCTGTAGAGGTCTTCTGTTCTCCATGAAGCTCGGACACCTTCACAGGCACACGGCCCTTCAGAAGGACAGAGGGGCCTCGTCAGGCACAGAGGAAGAGCGCCCCCCTGCTCCCCCCCGTGTGACCAGGGAGGAGCTCACTTCCGCGCAGCTCTGGGCTGCGTGCACCCCCTCCGGCCACCACCTGGTCCCCCATTAGGAACAGCGCCCGGTGCCCGGCCCCCCCGGCTCCCAGGGGGTCGGCTTCAGGTCTCAGAACCACAGGACGACACTAGAGAAGTCAGGAGGAGCAGTCTTCACTCACGGGGGGACCCCTGTGACAACCTCTCACCCCCAGGGTTCTCTGTCACCAGCGCTGAGCCATGCCACGGTGGCTGGGAGAGACAAACCCAGGAGCCCCTTTCCTGTCCCCCGCCCCGTGTCCCTTCTATGCTTCCACTTTTCAGCAAACTCAGCACGCCCATCCGGCCACGCTGGCCCTCAGCTCTTGCTTTCAGCCCAGAGCCCAGCATCGGCCCGTCTCGAGCCCTCCTTGGTGGGAGCCCAGCGTCCACTCGGCTTCTGCACGCACCCGTCGCGGGTCCCCGCACAGAGTCTCACATCTCGGATTGGCTGCTCCAGACAACTGTCAACAGCTGGCTGGGCCGAAGACGCAGCTGCGGTCCCCCTCTTGGGGGAGGGGCTCGGGCTGCTCTAGTTCACAAGGAGGTCACAGCAGCTGCAACAGTTTTCAGGCCCCACGACGGCCCTGGGACGCCCAGGCTGGGACGTGGGACAATCGGACCCCATGCCGAGGACAGAAGCTGCACGGAGGGACTCTGTTCTGGGCCCAGGGGCCAGAGACCAGCCTGAGGGGCCCGGCCCCCCCGCGGGCTCCCTGGCCACACCAGGGGGCGTGGCTAGTGGCAGGGCAGGCCTGCAGCCTCGCGCTCCGCTCCGCGACAGGGACCACGGGGACCGCGCTAGGAGACTAGGAGAGGGGGGCCCAGCCCAAGGACAGTGTGGTAAGGAGCAGCAGCAGGGACAGGGACACGAGGGGCAGAGCAACAGCGTTTCCCTCCGTCAGCAGAACGGGGAGCTCGGCGGTGGCGGTGGCAGCGGCTGCTCAGGAGAGCGGTCACCACGGCTGCCTTTATTACCCACCATCAAACAGCAATTTCTTCCCCAGCCTCCTCGCTAATTACCCAGCCAGCGTTCTCATCTCGTTTTATTACTGGAATTAACAACGAGTTCAGAGCGTGGAAAGCTATTAAGATGTGTGATTAAGCCACATTCAATTAGTTTCTACAAACAATTTAATTGATGTTGCAGATAGAATTAACAGAAGGTGATTGTGTGAATGGCTCCGCTGGCTGCAAAATGGGGGAGGCTGTGGCGGGCTCTCTTGGGCCAGGCAAGGATCGGGCGTAAGGCTTGAGGCCTGCCCACCAGCCCTTCCTCTGTACGCCCTTCCAGTCCCTCCAGCCCCACTGGCCTCCGTCGGCAGGTGAGTCACCGGTACGGCCGCCCTCTGGTCCCTGAGACGGCAGCACCCTAGGCCCAGAGTAGTGCGCGTCCCTCTGGGGTTACCGGAAGGCCCCTCGGCCGCACGGCGCCCGAACAGGAGGGAACCTCCCGGGAGACAGGCCGCCCTCGGCACGGGGATGGCGGTCAACTAAGACGCTTGCTCAGGTTGGGAAACACGGCAAAGGGGAGACGGAGGCAGGTAAGCCAGCAACACTTGAGAGCTGCAACCGAGGAAGGAAAGCAAGAAGCGAGGGGGGTGGACGGAGCGGGCGGCCTTAGCCAGGAGGAGACGCAAACTCTGGTCACGCAGCGGCACGTGATGACCCCTGATTTGGTCTTCACTCCGGCTTCCGTTTTGAACCCCAATTCGTATCTGCTGAGTGAGAAAAGCAGCGCCCACAGGGCAGGGATGCTGCCATCTGCACAGCCCAGTCCCCCCCCGGATGCTGGCGTGGGAGGAAGACATAGGTTTTGATCCCAGAGTCAATGGATGAAGAGCGGACACAGAGCCTGCGCTCTCAGAGGAGCCTTTCACTCAACCTCTCCACGAGGTCCCATGGCCCAGAGAACAAGAGGCCAGCAGGGCCGCCTGCCTCTTAGACTCACCTTGCAGGAAAGCAAGGAAGGGGCTGGAAGCCCCTGCCACCCACATCCCGTCCCAGGCCCCTGAACACACCAAGAAGCACAGAGCTCAACAGGCGAGGCGCTGGAAGGGACTCGGAGAAGCTCAGGCACCCATCCTGGCCCAGGCAGGCCCATGGGTTCCCTCCACCCTTCCTGACAACAGTCTAGGCAACACTTGCCCGGACGTTAACTCTCCGAGAACTTTCTCAGCCAGCCCCGAAGAGAGTTGCTCTCGGCACATGCAGAAAATTCCGGGTGATGCTCCGAGTCAAAGTCATGGGTCCTCGTATTAGCTCAGCCAGTGGCTGGGTGACCGATGACGATCCAGCCAGCCCCGCCAAGCTTCTGCTCTCTAATTGATTGAGTGTAAAACCAGAGTTCTCGCGAGCCTTTACCTTCCCTTCCTAAACCCAAACCAAACACAGCACCCCACACATTCCTTCGTGTCCCGGGACCCCTCTACGGTCCCCCTCCCCCTCTCCGGGCTTCCTCCATTATCTGAGACATGGGGACAGGCTAAGGAGGCGGCACAAAGCAGAAAGAACAGGTAAGGGTGCACGGAGGGGAACGCCAAGGCCACCCCCACACGGAGCAGGGAGGGGCGTAGGGGGGACTAGGATGCTTCGGAGAGGCTAGCTCCCAGCTCCACTGGCAAGACGCCGCCTGAGGAGAGCGAGTCCATCTTGCCTGGGGGCCGGGGCGGCCGGGGTGAAAATACAAGCAGCTGGGAGTTAGGAGGAGCTAGGCCGGCCTAGGATCGGGCCTGGCTGGGAAATGCCACGGCTCTGCTGTCTCTGTGCTACAGAGCCCTGTACCTGCAGGAGGCCCCGTGACTTTCTAGGACACCTGTGTCGCGCTGCCTCGCACGGGCTCAGCGGCAGGACCGGGTCTGCGTACAAGGCGGCCGCTGGAGTAGGGGAGGGGATGGTGCTGAGGGGCCTCTACCAAGTCCCCAAGGCCACCTGGTGTGGCCCGTCCTCAACCCCCCAGTCTCCTGAGGCCGGCTCCCACCCTGTGGAGGATGAGACGCTAGGAGGAAACGCTAAGTAGCGGCGTCCCCCGAGTTAAGGGGAACAGTTAGTGCCCGAGGAATCGGATACGGAGAAACCCAGGAGGGCGAGGCCGGGCTCCGGCCTGACGGGAAGCAGACCGCCCGCCCGCTCTTCCCGAGCCAGGCCTTCGCGCGTTATCGTGCCTGGGCGGTGCCCTCGGGACCGGGTTACGGCCAGAACCGCGCATCCCCGGCGCCTCTTGGGTCGGGCCTCCCCGACACCTTGTGCAGGTTCAGAGGCAGCCAAGGGACCCTCGGAGGCAGGCCCTGGGCTCCTGGGCCGGGGGTGGGGCCGGCCCGCGTGCTGTGCTTGAGGGGGTTCACGGGAGAACTCATTAGCCCCACAGTGGGGCGGTGACAGAGATGGATTCTGGTGACAGCTGTGTGCTGGAGCCACGCGGCGAGGGGAGGCGGGAGGCGGGAAGGGTGGGAGAGCTGCCACGGGGGCCACTCTACAGTCACCGCCCCGCCCCCTCACCGGGGCACAGGCCACCCCCACCCCCGACCCCTCCACCCGCCATCATCGCCACCCCCACGCTCCCTTTCCCCGACAGGACGCGTGCCATTCTCCGCAGGCCCAGCCCAACTGCCCCCCGGCTCTCCATCACCCCAGGCCCGGGAACCCAGGGCCTCCCGTGCTCGCGTGGCTCCCCAAGAGACAACTGGGCGGTGACACCGGCATCCCCAGCTTGAGCAATTCCAGGTAAGTGGGGCCCAATCCCGCTGTCTCCACAAGCGGGGGCCAGGACGCGGGGCCCGACCGCACACAGCAGCCTCGCCTAGAGGCAGCCATCCCCGGGGGGCGAGTCTCCTCCCAAGGGCGCAGCCACAAGTCAGACTTTAGAATGAAGGGCTCGGCCCCGGCCTCGGTCGCACAGGCGGTGTGGTTCCCAAGCCGCCAAAGTGAGGCTGTTTCCGAAGGGCAGGTGCCTTTGAACCCACTGAGGCCTGCTTCCCTTCAGTCGTGGAGTCAGCGCCCCCCTCCACTCGGGTCACTCTTCCTCGGGTCCCCAACCCCTCCCCCAGACTCACGTGCAGACTGGGGTGGTAGGTGAGCAGTCCGTTGTCACAGAGTGTCACGTACTTCTTCTTCCACTCCTTGTTCAGGGACTTGCCACTCCGTTTCAGCAGGATGCCCTGAGGACAGAGGCGGGATCAGAGACAGGTGCCAGCCCCGCACGTCGGGGGGGCCCGGAGAAGGTCACGGGGGCACCAGGGAACACCGTCCTCCGTCGCCCGTCCTCCTGGGCCACTGTGCTCCTCTGAGCAGAGAGGCTGTCAAGGACCAGAGCCGACCTGGGGGAAGCCAGTTAGACGGGACCTTCCACGGAACTCGGGCTTCCCTGACGGTTCACCAGCAAGCAGCCTGGGGGCCGCCCCCCTCCCCGGGGTCGTGGGGCCGCGCCAGCAGCAGGAGGCAGGGTTTCAGGTGGCCTCCTGGCAGTGACGCTCCTGCCTGTGTGTCTCCAGGGGTGGGTGAATAGGGCAGAAATCCCCTAACCGCCCCCAGAATGTTCCAGACTCCCCAAGGCGCAGCCCCGGCCACAGAGCTCAGCGACCAAATTTCCCCTGCAAGCCTGTCCGTGTGTTTTGCTCACTGACACACCCTCAGCACCGTGACAGTGCTTGGGACACGGCACACACTCGGTGAACGTCCGGTGGGTGGGTTGAAAGAAGCCAGCTGAGACCATGGCCGCCAGAGATGCTGAAAGGGGAGGACGCCTGCAGAGAACTCCAAGAACGGCCTCCACCTTCCTCTAAGGACAACCCCCGAAGAGGCCCTCACCCGCCTCTGGCTCTCTCCTCGACACGACAGTCATCACAGGAGAAGGAATGGCTGAGGAGAGGAGCAGGGGTCAGGGGAAGGACAGTACCACCAACAGGTCCCGGGGGCAGGTTCTGAGGCCCAGCATCAACCGAAGGCAGGAGGGCCGACAAGAGGCAGTGCCGCCTGGAGATTCCCAGACAAAACTCCAAGGGGACAGCCACCAGGAGGGGGCTCAAGCGGGGAGTCAGGATCAGCAGCGGCCTAGGAGAGCAGGGGAAGCACCCGGAGCCCAACCGCAGTGGGCACCAGAGAGGAGGAGCTCAAAGACGTGGCCCGGATCACAAGGCCTTCTCCATTAGGAATGGAGGGCCCTGCTCTCAGACAAGCAGGAAAACCAGGATTAAGAGATTCGAGTGTGGGGGCGCCTGGGGGCTCAGTTGGTTAAGCGTCCAACTTTGGCTCAGGTCATGATCTCACGGTTCGTGGGTTCGAGCCCCACGTCGGGCTCTGTGCTGACAGCACAAAGCCTGCCTGGCATATTCTCTCTCTCTGTCCCTCCCCTGCTTGCACGTGCTCTCTCATAATAAATAAACATTAAAAAAAAAAGAGAGATTCAAGTATGAGGAAATAGTATCACCTATGGTTCTGGGGCCCAAAGGTAGAGGTTAACCCCAATTCTCTCACACCTCCTCTCTAAGCTCTTCCGGAGAGCAGGCTCAGTCCTAAAGGGAGGAGGTTAGCCAACAGGCGATTGGAATTTCCTGCCCGATCTACCTCCTCACGAGGGACCAAGATGGGGCTGAGAAAGTCTCCCACCTTTCGATACATCCCCACTAGCACTCCTTCCTTTCTCTCTTTCTTCCCGCCGCCCCCAAAAGGCAGATGCCGTTGCGGGGAGATTCAGTTGAGCGTCTGGGGCCATCTGAGGACACACTCTACCACCCGGTCCCCCTCAGCACCAGACACCCTATCCTCACATGGAGCATCTGAAGACGAGTGGTATTAATGGGACCTTCACTGGAGTGGGTGGCTGGAACATTCCGGAAGGCAGTCAGGCCCCTGCCCAGGGGTCCATGAAGGAGCCTCAGTGACCTGCTTCTGGGCGTGGCATCCACCCCCTCACAGCCAGGAACAAGGCAACGGTAAGCTGCTCCCCGTCCCCGGGCTGTGGACAACACCCATGAGAACCAACAGCCAGACTCTGGACAAGGCAGCCCCCAGTCTCACCCGGTGCCCTCAGGAAGCGCTGGGGGGACGGCAGCTCCCCTGCCCCTCCTCTCTCCTTCTTCCACACCTCCTCAGCCTCCAGTGGGAGAGTCCATGTCAGCCTCTGTTCTCAAGTCCTCCCAGGCCCCGCCCTGGCCTCCCTCGCCTGACCCTTCCTCTCCATCATGGCCGAGCCCTTCCCTCCTGGGCCCGGTCCCAGCTCCGGGCCAGGTCGAGGGAAAGGGAAGCCAGACTCCGCTCCCCCTTCTGCCGCCAGCTAGCCCCTAACATCAAACAAGTGACCGCCTGAGCCTCAGTTTCCACAGACAGATAGGGAGAGCAGACTCACGTATGGAGGTTTCCTCCCTCTTCCCAGCCTGGAATCGGGACTCAGGATGCCAAGGAGGGAGGCCCTTTTCTACCCAGAACTCTCTCCCCTCCTTCACCTGGGCCTCGGTCGGGGAGGAGCCACGGACCAGCGCTAATGAGCTCAGTGAGCTCACCGGCAGGGGTGTGGGAGGAGTGCCCGGCCTGATGGAGAAAAGCCGGCCAGGGCCTCAACCTGCCACCCACTCGCGCCTCCAGCCCGCCTCTCACCTGCCAGCCCGGCCCAGACGCAGAGCACGCGGCAAAGGCTGGGCTAGCCGCATAGTGGATAGGCCTGCCTACCCGGCGCCTCCTTCCCTCCCGAATCCTGCCTTCCAAGGAGGGAGACGAGCTACAGGGGTTCCTGCTCCCCTCCCTGGCCGGCCCGGCTGCGCACGGCGGAGCAGGAAGCAATCTGGGGCGGAATGGGCGCGGCGCGGAGGCGCCAGCCCCAGAGGACCCGTTCCGCCGCCGCCTCCCTCCCAGCTCCGCCAGCCGGCTTAATTGCGGAGTCCGGATTGATTGGGAATGCAAATGGCAACTGAAATGCAATCTCCACTCCCAGCAGGAGTGGGGGGGCGGGGAGGGGGAAGGAGTGGAATGGGGAGGAAGGGACCCGAGGGTGGGGAGGGGCCAGAGCGGCCCGGGCGGGCAGCTGGAGGTTGGGGGAAGTCACCCGAGGATGAGCCCCTGGGGCTGGGAAACTAGAGCAGGGAGCACCCCCCC